GGAGGGAAGCGGATGGGGGCCGGCGATGCGTCCCGGTCGGATGTGGAACGGCGAGAGCCGGTCCACCGATCGACTCGGGGCGTGGACCGGTGCGGATTGGTGCGGCGGCCAAAGCCCGGGCTGTTGATATGCCCGTGGAGATGCCGTCGCGTCGATCGTGGTTGGCAGCGCGCGCCGTCACGGCGTGCCTCGGCACCTGGGCGCTCCCGGCACCGGCCTGCGGGCACCCCATTCGGCCSGTCTTGAAACACGGACCAAGGAGTCTGACATGTGTGCGAGTCAACGGGTGAGTAAACCCGCAAGGCGCAAGGAAGTTGATTGGCGGGATCCCCCTAGCGGGGDGCACCGCCGACCGACCTTGATCTTCTGAGAAGGGTTCGAGTGTGAGCATGCCTGTCGGGACCCGAAAGATGGTGAACTATGCCTGAGTGGGGCAAAGCCAGAGGAAACTCTGGTGGAGGCCCGCAGCGATACTGACGTGCAAATCGTTCGTCTGACTTGGGTATAGGGGCGAAAGACTAATCGAACCGTCTAGTAGCTGGTTCCCTCCGAAGTTTCCCTCAGGATAGCTGGAGCCCGGGTGCGAGTTCTATCGGGTAAAGCGAATGATTAGAGGCAGCGGGGGCGCAACGCCCTCGACCTATTCTCAAACTTTAAATAGGTAGGACGGAGCGGCTGCTTCGTTGAGCCGTGCTACGGAATCGAGAGCTCCAAGTGGGCCATTTTTGGTAAGCAAAACTGGCGATGCGGGAAAGCAACAATGATACAATTAAACAATTAGAAGGGGAAACTTACATTACCCGATCCTATTATTACCCATTCCTCACAGATCAAGCTTAGTCTTACTACAGAATCTTAACCTATAGCTTTGATACCATAACTTGTAACACCCTTGTCCCGCGTGGCCGGAGGATGGTGTGTTACGGAGGAAAACATAACAATATAAATAGCTAATATAAATACAGGATAACCAGAGCTGCTATGAATATCCATCAAAAGAAGGTGGTAGACTAAAAGTTAAGACAACATGGATACAATTACAATATATACATAACCAAAAACTACTATACTATCCAAGGTCGTCTTCAAAATAGTCATATTTCATTGCTTTCAGTCCCGTGATAATCCCACCTACGATCATGTACCTGCCGAGGACAAAACAAACCTCGTCTGAGCCAAATGCTCAGTGAACGGATAATTAAAATAACAAAATTGCAAGTATAAATCGAGGTAATAAAAGATAATAATTATAAGGAATCCGAAACACAAAACATGAAGAAATTAATTAATAATTTACATGAAATGTCCATACTAAAATAATTTAAAATAATATCATCAAGTCAAGAATTGAGAAATAAATAAGAAAATCAATTGGGTTCGAGGGTTGTACGGACCACTCGAACAATGGAAAATGAGTGTAGGGCAATACACTCAATTTCCTTCCGATAATCGGCTCCCGAAAATGGTTCCCGAATACGGCTCCCGATAACGGTTCTTAGGATCAATCCATTCGCCCTCAAATTAGCCGGTACCATGCCAGACCCACTTATTGACATTGGGGTATAATAGCAAGGACGCCATGACAATTTATAGCCACCATGGAGGCGTCACGACATCATTGCCCTCGATGTCGTGCCTTAAAGCACAAAGTGCTCAAATCACCAAAAACATATCAATTCAATGTGAAAAGGGTAATCTCACAAAATATGAAACTATAATTATATACAAGTGATAGATGCCGAGATGGTAATGAGATACAATATTGCCTCTATAATGAATTAGTGGTTTAAGAAAGTCACAAGAATCAGGTATCTGTACCTTAGACGACAATCAAAGAAGTAAACATGTAGCTTCTATCCCCTTGTTAATGCCCCTTTCTTATTCTACGATTGGTCCTGAATAAGTTACACATGATTGTGACTGATTGAAACAAGATCTACGGATATTACAATCCTCAAAGCACAAAGTACAAGCAAAAGTAAAGCTATTAAATCCCCTGCACCAGACAACTTTGAACCAACTTGACTTTGATCATTTTTATCATACATAGAAATGCATTCAGGTGTTAATGTCTAAACAAAAGTTGTAGGCTGATTACTTAGGGTTCTAGTCGATTTGGATTCATTCCTTTTGGAGAAAAAACTTATTTTATATGAATTTTCTAAAAACAGTATGCAAATCCCGTTTTTGCACAGGACCAGCTACATAAACTCACTATTTTGAGCATTATGGAAGTAAAATCAAGTTTGAACATAAACTACAAAGTTGTAGTAGACACCGATACCTTTCCAACAATATATGGCACACCTCAATTGGATCAATAAGTGATTTTATATGAAGTTTTAAACAACCAGCAGCACTAAGATTCTAATGCACAACTCAAAACAGCACTTTTTTATAAGTTTGACACTAAAACCATAAAGAATCAACTATCTAGCTTTACCATATTGCAAATAAATAATTGAAACTTAATTTATAACTTCTTTAACCAACAATGACATAAAAATAACACCATTTAACAAAGGTTTAGCTTAATAATCAAAACCTTATAAACCCTAACATGAACCTTTCCAATCTTTATCACAAATCAACAAATTAGACCACAAATCTTGAAATTTATAGATTCATACCTTGCTTCTTTACATTATCTTCAATCCATTAGCTCTAAATCTTCAAAATATCACCAAATTGGAAGATGCATGAGAAGGTTCAACCAAAATCTAGGGTTTATGTGAAGAGAGGGCTTAGGTCTAGAGAGAGAAGTGAAAGGTGAAAAAATGAGAGTTAATTTTCTGAAATTAAGGGTTTAAATAGTTAGTAAAAGAATTCTCACTTAGCAAAAGTTACCCCTCATCAATTGCCTAATTCAATATTAGTCTTTACATGTATTTTTCTTAACATTTCTAGTCCTAAGATCAATTTATTTTCTACATAATTGACCAATTACATAAAACTTGGACTTACATTATTAGTTCAAAATACAACTACTTTAAGCAAGGTACAAGTTGATAAAGCATCCAATTGTCATGTAATTGAATATACCAAGATTAATCAATAAAAAAATCTAGGTTGTTATATGGGTCAAGAGCATCATGTTCTTATATATACATACATAGAGGAAGGATCATACGAGAAGTTGAACATTTTGCGCGAAAGCGAGAAGTGTGATATCATATATGAATACATGACCTTTGGGTATGTTAATCATATATGATTAAACGTCTATGTATTGTCAATGTAACATGTGTTTAATCAATATGATTAAGCTTGTGTATCATATATGATATCACAGTTCTCGCATTCTCGTAAAATGTTTAGCTTTTCGTTTGAACTTGGCCCTACATACATATCTATTGTAAACCTACCTTTTTAACTATTCTATAATTGTTGTCTTATTTTTCTTTTTCTAAGAGAGCTATATGAGTTGTGTCTTTTTATGGAAAAATATTATATATATGACTTGATTCCCAGTTTATAAAAAAAAGTATTGGCATGTTTAAAATCAAAAGCATGCATTTAAGTATTTACCATAAATACTATTATGCTTTAGTGAGAAACATTTTTTAACATATTTTCATCCTTTGATGTAATGGTAGAATCTGAGAAAACCATTGAAAATAAGCCCTCTAGTAATGAACCACAAGCTTCAACTTCAAAATCATAGTAGCAACCAAGAATAAATTCTCAAATTGTATTATATTTGTCAATTAAAAAACATTAAAATTAGCCACAGTCATTTTAACCATGGTGTCTAGGCCAACATGCTTGCCCCTGGATTAGTCTCAAGAGTTTAGGAAAAATTAGAACTGATGACTATGAGAAAGATTCTCTTTAACACCATCTACTAATCATTTTCACACAAGAAAACATGTTTTTCACAACCTTAACATTAATTTGTTTTTCATTCTATTTCACATTCACCATAAAAATGTAAAATTGTAACACCCCATACCACACATTGCATGTAACATATACTTTATATACAAGAAATACATGTTTAAACAGCACATAGGTCCCTTAGTACAAGAATCTACCATTACAGAATACATGGTTCAAAAATTCAAAATAAAATTCTTGTATTAATCAATATTCATCTACCAAAACTATACATATCATCAGCTATTCTTCATGCAGATAAACACATAGGGAATTTATCACATTTTCCCTTTTCCCTTACCGTCTGCACTTCCTGCAATACATTTTAAAAAAATCATAAAACGAGGGTTAGACCGAAAGGTCTAGTGAGTTACCCTATTTATGTTATTGCAGGTTGATAATCACCAAGACTTTTATGTGAAATAATTATTCATATATATAACAAATATATGAGCAAGTAAGAACATAATACCGATACCTTTCACTTCTCAAGCCAAATTCTTTGTTTACAAACAACACATCAAACCCAAATAGGTTTGCACTACCARATTATCATAATGCCACTTTTAACCCTTTTTAAATCAAATAAGGTTTACTCAAAGTTTCAGGCCAAACCTGTTATCTCTTTCTCAACAACATCTAGACTATGATTTCCAATAAGAACCATAATCCTAAACCTTTAAATCACAAAGAAATAAAGATTCTAGACCACGGTAATCTTTAAGGATATAATAGTAAGAGTTATATTACATAACACACATACAAATACCACCCTTATATCCCAATATACACCTCTCCTTGATATGCCACCCTTATCCCATGGTACACCTCTCCTTGATATGCCACCCTTATCCCATGGTACACCTCTCCTTGATATGTCACCCTTATTTCCTCATCAAAACATTTTACAAAAACAATTCCAAGTAGACCGCAGTCAATGGAATTATTATCAGTTCAAAAGTATCATAATTCCCATTTAATGTTAAAAATAACAATTTATCAACCATGCACAAGGCATAAATACAAATCCGGTCAACATAAACTTGGCCGGACTTCATTTCCGGTCAAGTCTTGGCCGGTTTACCAAATCCGAACAACATATCACCCAAGACTTGTCCGATTTAACATGTGGTCATAAATCACAAAACCTTGTCCGGATAACAAATCCGGACAACACTTTTCACCAGTCATCCGATTTAACTAAACTAGTTACCATTTAGTCATATTCCTACTTCTCCGAGTTAAACACTTAGACATAATTCAAAGTTATAAATCGTTTAACACTTGACCGGTTTAAGGGTAATCCGCTTATGCCTTGAACGGTTTAGGGTTTAAGTCACCTAACCCTTGTCCGGTTTATGGCTAAACCGCCTAATACTTGTCCGATTTAAGTGTAATCTGGACAATACTCCAGTGGATAACTTTTAATTCAAAAGTAAAGCTTTATACTCAATTAAACA